ATCAGAAACGTAAAATTTAAGATATTGGATGCCATGATTGCTGGTGAACCCATACACAGGGGCGGAGGGCAGATTATACCCACCGCTAGACGTGTAGCTTATTCTGCCTTTCTTATGGTAAGTTTTCTTTTAAATAGACGGCGTCCTTTTTTTACCAATCGTACCTTAGTCTCAGAAACAGGAATTTTTTAGCTAAGCCAATCAGTGGTAATGTTCACAGCTCACTGTCAAAATTTCAGCCTTCAAATCCATGTGTGTATCAAGGGCAATAACTCTGTCAATATTTGTCGAATCATACCCTAATTCGAACTAGGCCAAATTCTTGTGGATATAAAACCTACACACAAAAATTTTACAAAAGTTGAAAAAAATTGTGGCCTCTATTGTCATCACACTATTATTATTATCATATTTTTGGTTTATCAAGGGCTACAACTCTGTAAGCATTTGTCGAATTTTACCCAAATTCGAACTCATCCTAGATCTTGTGAATATAAAGCTAATTACCAGAATCCTAAATGGCATTGATTATGGCGCCAAACAAAGACTCAATGCCTGAAACTTTCATTTTCAGGCAACTCCAAGAATGATGGAACCATACTATTTTGTAGAAGTGATGGCACCGGCAGATTGTGTATCAGCTGTTTATACGGTACTAGCTAAACGAAGGTAAGGGAATTTTTTTCTGAGCGCACGAAAATTTCAGCTGTAAGCCATCGATGATTTATCTCATACTTATCGAAGAATATAGCTTTAAAATTACGTGTTTTTGGTCTATATTCCAAATTTTTGGAAAAACCCTGCACAAGCTTTGGGACAGCATTGTTATGCCACTGCCAGTATTTTCGAGCATTGGTCTGGGATGTACTTGCAAGTTTTTCCAAATAACGAGTTTTTGGTCTATATTCCTTAATTTTTGGCAAAACCCTGCATAAGCGTTGGGATAAGCGTCCTACTTAGGTTTGTAAATTGGTATGCCTCTGCCAGTGCTTTCGGGCATTGGTCTGAGATCTACTTGCAACTTCTTCCAACCCCTAATTGGTCTAATGTAGAAAGGCAACACCATGCAGTGTGTAATGAGGGAAATGCTTTATATTTCAGAGGTCATGTGACACAGGATGCTCCAGTCCCAGGTTCACCATTATATACGATTAAAGCTTTCATCCCAGCCATTGATTCGTTTGGTTTCGAAACTGATCTCCGTACCCATACACAGGGCCAGGCTTTCTGTCTCTCTGTCTTCCATCATTGGCAGGTAGGTTTGGATTTTTTAACGAGTTCAACGGGATTGTAAAGAGGTTTTCTAATTTTTTCATGTGTATCGGGGACACTGATAGCATCAATTTACACCATTCTAATTTTCAATCAGACGTCTGTGGTTCTTGTTAAAGAGATTGTAAAGAGGTTTTCTTAATATTTATGTGTAGCAGTTTTGTGCCAGACTGGTTATTCTGGTTATTACCTGATACCACTTTTCATTATGAAATACTCACTCATTTATGATTGATATACTTCTCACGTGAAAAGCTCATTAGCTGCTACCAATGTTTCACCAATATGTTGTTTTGGATTGTGGGTTTTGTTTTGCTGTTTGGATCGTTAGTTATTGGTTTATTTATTTCTAGATTGTACCTGGAGATCCGTTAGATAAAAGTATAATAATTCGACCACTAGAGGCCCAACCAGCCACGCATTTAGCTCGTGAATTTATGATCAAATCCAGACGCAGAAAGGTAATGTTAAATTATTTTTTTTACGATGGTTTATAGATTAGGGGATGAGCTGTTGTGCAGTCAAGTAAAGTGTTGAAATCTTTACATGACGTCATTTACTTGCTTATATCATTGAACCCAGCTGATAAATTTTTATAGCATCACATGAGGGTTGGCTGTAGTTCAATCGGTTAGGACGTTGAAATCTTTAAATGACGTAACCTAGTAAATGATGTCAAACAATTGCCGGTCGTGGGTTCTAATCTTGATGGACAAATGGAAGTCTGGTAACCTTGCATAAGTCATCATTATTCCAGTTGACCCAGCTAGTAAAATCATTACCAAGAGGTTTGGTCAAGGAACAGCTGGTAGAAAGGATCCTTGTGAACCTAAGTTGTTATCCTTGTAAAATCAATACCAAGAGGTTTGACCAAGGACCAGCTGGTAGAAAGGATCCTTGTGAACCTAAGTTGTTATCCTTGTAAAATCATTACCAAGAGGTTTGACCAAGGACCAGCTGGTAGAAAGGATCCTTGTGAACCTAAGTTATTATCTTTGTAAAATTAATACCAAGAGGTTTGACCAAGGACCCTCTGGTAGAAAGGATCCTCATAAACCTAAATTATTAATTTCCTAACGATTTTTGGGGTTTATTTTCAGGGATTAAGTGAAGATGTCAGCATCAACAAGTTTTTCGATAATCCTATGTTGTTAGAATTAGCTAGACAAGACGTTTTGTTGAATTATCCCATGTGAAAAACTTTATCATAAGATGGTGGACACAATTTTAAATTGGTTGGTTGGTAGATGACAAGTTAACGTCTGCTTCCAACAAACTCAAATTTCAAATAGTGCTGTAAAACTTATTCTGAATGGATTTCAAATTTTCATATTTTCATTTTGTTAATTAAAGAGATTGTAAAGAAGTTTTCTAAATTTTTTATGTGTATCAGGGACACTGATAGCATCAATTTACATCATTCTAATTTTCAATCAGATGTCTGTGGTTCTTGTTAAAGAGATTGTAAAGAAGTTTTCTAAATTTTTTATGTGTATCAGAGACACTGATAGCTCCAATTTTCAATCAGATGTCTGTGTTTCCTGCAATTCTACTACAAATACAGGAACCACAGACATCTTAGTCTTGTGACAAATATGGCCTTTTGGAAATGTACAATGAATTTCGAGTTTCTTTATTCCGTCATTCTTTGTGTTTCATTTCATTGTGAAATAAATATCTGTAAATACAGAATAAACATTATTATTATATAAATACATTGTTTGTTAATGAAACACCATTTTGGGGTAAGAGGGACTGTCATGGAAAAAGTGTCTAGGTTGGATGGACAAAGAAAACCAAGCCCTGTGCGCTACAGGCTGTACACATTAAAGATCCCTCTACAGTTGGAAATCGAAAAAGAGCAGGCTAATGCTGCTTTGATAGCAATATTTCCCTCATTGTACACTGTACAAATTTATGTTCACAGTTATAAGCTGTAAGAATTACGTCCTACTGTTCTGCACCATGCAGTGTACAATGAGGGAAATTTTGAGACATCTCTAAGAGTTAATAGAAATGAAATGAATGGAGTTTTACATCCTACTTTTCTGCACCATGTGGGCTAATGAAGACAGGCAACACCATGTAGTGTGCAATGAGGGAAATTTTAGCAGGACATCTCTAAATGAAATGAATGGAGTTTTATGTCCTACTTTTCTGCACCATGTGGGCTAGTGAAGACAGGCAATGCCATGCAGTGTGCAATGAGGGACATTTTTTTATCAGGACAGTGGCATGAGCCAACCCTTAATGATTTACAACTTTCAAGGATCATTTAAAGCATATATAAATCAAAGCAGGTCAAGAAAACTTAACTGTGGTCTGGAAAAAGATGTGAGAAAATGGAGTTATTTCCCTTGTGCTGTTCGATATTTCATTGATGTCTAATGAAGAATTATTTCGAAATGAAATGAATGGAGTTTTACGTCCTAGCTCGCACTTATAGGCCTACTAATGAGTACACACCATGCAGTGTGCAATGAGGGAAATTTTGCCAAGACAGCGGCATTAGCCTGCTTTTTTTACGATCTTCAATGTGTACAGCCTGTAGAACATGGGGCCTCAGTTTATTGCCCCATTCTAAGAGAACGACGAAGACATAAAATCAAAATTTTACCGAAAAACACCAGAGCTAAAATTTGAAAAAGATTAGGCCTAGTTTTTTTTCACCATGACTAAACAACCATTGAATTTTGAATGAAAAGGGAGCTTTATAATTTATGCAGGGACGCCGACAAAAATCGTTGAGGCGCATAAAATAATCTTGTTTTAGGGTGACCTAATACTGAAATATAATATTTACTGGGGGCGTTTCAAGGTCTTTTACCTACTAAATTTTTTTTTTTAATTTCCAACTGTCAAGGGATTTTTAATGTGCACAGCCTGTAGCTCACGGGGCCTCGGTTTATTGTCCCATCTGAACGACTAGACACTTTTTCTATTTCCAACTGGCAAGGGATCTTTAACGTGTACAGCCTGTAGCACAGGGCCTCGGTTTATTGTCCAATCCGAACGACTATACAATAATAAAGTCAATGCCATGCAGTGTGCAATGAGGGAAATTTAGCCAGGACATTAGCCTACATATAAGCTAAAATAACCTTTACTGGGGGCGGTGCAAGGTCTTTTACCGAATAATTTTTTTTTTAATTTCCAACTGTTGAGGGATCTTTAACATGTACAGCCTGTAGCACACAGTGTCAAGGTTTAATGTTCCATCTGATCAACTAGACACTTTTTCCATGTCAGCCCCTCTTACCTACATCACTGACAGGGGGAAACTAGGTTGAAAAATCTGAAAGTATTATCTCAACCTATGCTGGGATTGAACCCTGGACCTTCAGGTTAGAGAGCAAGGGTTTAACTCACTGACAGGGGGAAACTGGGTTAAAAAATCTGAAGGTATATAACTTGATCTATGCTAGGATTGAACCCTGGACCTTCAGATTAGCAAGCAAGGGTTTAAATGCATGTCGATCTTGAAACAAACTATAAAATTGTAATTTTGAATGTATTTGCACTCTCGTCCTGACCTAATTCTAAAAAAACAGCTTTTCAAATCGAGCCATCAAAAATAATTACAAAAGATTTGGGAAACGAGGCCATATTTAAACATTGCATAAGTAGAGATCTTATAAAAGGTAAATGCATGAATGCGATCATGGGTGACACTTTTATTCAAAACATAATGAAATTCTTTACGCTATAAAAAATATGAATTAAACCCATCAATGGAAAATGGAGTTAAAAAAGCGTCTATCTGATCAAATATTAGGGTCTTTTAGTTTAAATATATTTTCAAATTATTGCTACAGTGGTTCAATGCATTTGAATTAAATATTTCAATTTCAAAAAGCGTTTGAGATACGTAATTGTTTTTTTTTTTTTTTTTCGCTTAAACGTCTTAAAGGGATTGTAAAAAGGTTTTCTATATTTTTTATGTGTATTAGGGACACTGATAGCATCAATTTACATCATTCTAATTTTCAATCAGACGTCTGTGATTCTTGTTAAAGAGATTGTAAAAAGGTTTTCTATATTTTGTATGTATATCAGGGACACTGATAGCATCAATTTACATCATTCTAATTTTCAATCAGATGTCTGGGGTTCTTGTTAAAGAGATTGTAAAGAAGTTTTCTAAATTTTTTATGTGTATCAGGGACACTGATAACATCAATTTACATCATTCTAATTTTCAATCAGACGTCTGTGGTTCTTGTTAAAGAGATTATAAAGAGGTTTTCTAAATTTTTTATGTGTATCAGAGACACTGATAGCATCAATTTACATCATTCTAATTTTCAATCAGATGTCTGTGGTTCTTGTTAAAGAGATTGTAAAGAGGTTTTCTAAATTTTTTATGTATATCAGAGACACTGATAACATCAATTTACATCATTCTAATTTTCAATCAGACGTCTGTGGTTCTTGTTAAAGAGATTGTAAAGAGGTTTTCTAAATTTTTTATCTGTATCAGGGACACTGATAGCATCCATTGACATCATTCTAATTTTCAATCAGATGTCTGTGGTTCTTGTTAAAGGGATCGTAAAAAGGTTTTCTAAATTTTTTATGTGTATCAGGGACACTAAGCGTTTTATGCCGTCACTATCGCAAATAACTATTCGTCATAAGACAGTAAGGAAATATTTTAATCATAAACAGGTCTTGTCAGTTCACGTTTTTTGACACCATGAACCCCATTTTTTTTACTTTTTGTCCTACGCCGTGAGTCATTTCGATCAAATGAAATAAAAATAAAACTGTTTTAAACACACATAATAAAAAAAATATCGCTTAAAAGAAATTTAAAACTGTTATTCATTGTAAGGTTCTGAAAGAAACACGTAAGAGGTTTTTTTTAGCTTACTCATGGCTTTCTATTTACATCAATGTCCCTGTCTGCGTCATCAAAGTTTCCCCCGTGATACACTGCAAAGCGTTGCCTGTCTTCATTAGCCCAATAAGCTACATAAAAGTAAAACACTGTGGTTCTTGCATTTCCCAAAATCTTTAAAAGAAATGAAATGAAATGAATGGAGTTTTACGTCCTACTTTTCTGCACCATGTGGGCTTATGAAGACGGGCAACGCCATGCAGGGTGCAATGAGGGAAATTTTGCCAGGACAGCGGCATTAGCCTGCTCTTTTTCGATTTCCAACTGTCGAGGGATCTTTAACGTGCACAGCCTGAAGCACACGGGGCCTCGGTTTATTGTCCCATCCGAACGACTAGACGCTTCTTCCATGTCAGCCCCTCTTACCTGTATCACTGACAGGGGGAAACCGGGTTGAAACCCAAAATCTTGAGAAGATTGTGACGTCATTAACGCCAGTACCATATAAGCCCAAACTCTGCCTCATGTGTGTCCAGAATTTTCCGCTTTTGAAAGTTAAAATGACGAGTCGTCTTTTCTTGAGACACTGCCATATATAGAAAAGACATCTATAGACATAGTGAGTAAAATTCCTAGTTTGAAATATTTTTGAAGGAATTATGTGATTTTCGTACATTTCTAGTATTTCTGAAGACTATTTACATATATTCAAGACTCAAATCAACCAAGTCAAGGACCATGTATAGTGTATCGTTGTATTTTTAAAGGAATTCTGCGATTTCGTACATTTCTAGTACTTCTGAAGACTATTTACATATATTCAAGACTCAAATCAACCCACCAAAAATGGCGCATCTGTCTCTTTAAGCTGCTATTATTTTAGATTACGTTTCGACTATAATGTCCATCAGAATTACAGTATAATCTCCTGTGTATCAGCGACCATCTGCGGTCAAGACGAAACAATACGTTACATGTACCATCTGATAAAATCGTTTGTTCAACGACATGTCCATCAGCTGGCAGACGTTAATTAAATACTAGCAGACGATAAGACGCAGTCCCTATCATCCAGCCAATTTTTATGTTAGTCCCATAAAAGCACTGGCCCCGTACACATACAAAGAGTGAAGCTTTTGTGATAGTGGCGTCATAAAACGCTTATTTTTAGTGGATTTACAGGAACCACAGACATCTGATTGAAAATTAGAATCATGTAAATTGATGCTATCAGTGTCCCTGATACACATAAAAAATTTAGAAAACCTTTTTACAATCTCTTTAATTATGAATTACTAGGCACTGGTCGTTTAAGACTGGAGAGAAGCCTGGATGTTCGAGACTCTAGTCTTGATTAGTCACGTGATATTTAAGAAGTTAATAATTAATTTGAATTATTGACAAGTCGTGTTTGATATTAAGAGATCTAATTCAATGAATATTAAGTTATATTCGATTACTGTTGTGTTTAATAGCTAATTAACCCTTTCGACCAACAGCCGTCGTTTTTCTCATGGCTTTATATCTCATCCGCTCACTACTGTACCAGCCGATTTCAGCTATCCGTTTGACTCTTCAAAAGGAAATCAGATATTCAGTTCGTCTACAATATATGAAGTTTCATGACGCACATTATCTTCAAGGGGTTAATTCGTGTACATACTATCCGTATGCCTTTTGAGAAGGAAAATTGGACGTCCAGTTTGTTTACAATATATAAAATTTCATGACGCACATTTTCTTTAAGGGGTTAATTCGTGTAATTATATTCGTATGACTTTTCAGAAGGAAAATTGGATATTCAGTTCGTCTACAATATATGATATTTCATTGCATTTACCAGCACAGCACAGCACAGCACAGCACAGCA